CCATTCACTTACTGATGATGCACATAATTTCTGATCCAAGAAACTTATCTGTATCCATACCAAGCTAATGCACCTTTGCAATTCAGATCAAATACTACTCTCTTTAGATTAGAAATAAATAAAAATTAAATTACAGGAAAGGGAAGTTATTTAAGGAACTTATTTGTTGCTGGCTGCACATAAGATAGGCACTGCTTTTTGTGACTGCTGCCTAATGCATTAGGGAAATGTGGCAATAACCAGCACCAGATTACTGCTTCCAAACAATCAAGCTGCCATTTTTATATGATAGTTAATATTTAAATGACATACTCCTGCATCTGCTGACAATTGATGTAATGGTAATACTTTATGAGTCAATATATATTTAATCAGTGGAAACTGTAAAAATTGATGAGAAATATATAACATGGGTGCACTACACTGTGTAGCAGCTCTGTTAAATAAGAACTGTTTCATATTATTATTGTTTTTTGAGGATCCTTGGGATTATTTTAATTTTTTTTAGAAATTATGTGAGGGCATCTTCCCATTTTGTGTACTGTAATAAGACTAAAATAAATTAAAATCTCATTTTTGTTAAGAATAAAATTAGTCACTGTGTTCTATTCCTACAAATATTTTCAAGTGAGATTTGAAGCACTATGAATTTTACTTACATGCTAAATTCTGACATGAAGCATGATGGCCCTATTTCAAAGAAAGATGGACACATGATTAATATGAAAATTAGGGAGATGCAAGTACCTGAACTAATAAGGTAGTCCTTATTCAGGCTGGACTACCTTCAGTAATTTCACCATTTTTCATATGTCAGCTCTGATGTGGGTTACTGGAAATAAGCAGCTCTGTGGAAAGCATTTCTTTCTACTTGGGGAATTTAAGGGCATCCAAGTACATACATATTTTGTGGTGGGGGAGAAATCCTGTATGTACAAATGAAGCTAGCCTTTTTGTCTAGTTACTAAATCAAGATAAAATTTTTGTATGAATATTGGACTTGAAAACCTGTCAAAAAATCGTTTTGATTATATATGTGCAAGTTTTACTGTCCTATAGTTAAATAAAAAGATTTGATTTTCTAAAGTATCACTGCAATGCTATCTAAAAACCTGTTATTTCAAGTGGAACTATACCATGTTTTTTCTAAACACACAAGAACCATTAGAAAAGAACAATAGCTACTTGCAAAGAGATATGCATATGCTAAATAAATATGACCAAAGCCTGTAGCTCCAGTACAAAGTAATTTTAAATTGTAGAATCATTTTTGGGCAACAGTACTATGACCTTGAATAGAAAGTATATGGCATTAATGATATCTTAGGTGGGTATTATATAGGGTGTGAATTTACTATAAAAAGATTACTATTTCTTTTTTCTGATACTTAATAAAAAATAGTTGGGCATTGCTTTTTTGGCTTTTGAATACAAATCATAACGTATTATGTAGTTAAAGCATGAATGATAACTCTAAGCTGTTAATGAATTTGGATAAATGTTCACTGTATACATAGAAATATTTTGTAATGTAAATTATTTGTATGACTCTACGAAAGAACAATATAAATATCATTACACCTCCCTGTTTTAGTGTGGGAGGCTAATGGACTAGATTAGTTGAGATTATTTCTCTGTAAGGGAAAATACTTACTGCATTTGTATAGATAAATCCTGTAACATTTCAGGTTCTTGTCTGAATATTGGTTTCCCACTGTGTAGTGTGGATTGCTGCCACATGTTCTCTTGTCTGACATGTTTGTTTCAAATAGTTGAGCGCAATATAAGAGAAGGGCCACTAATGTTGCATATGGTGTTTGGCACTTGCTTTTGAATATACAAAGAGATTATGACGTTGACAAGATAATGAGAATTTAAATATATCCACTGCTTGAAATTCTCTTCTTATTTCCATTACTGTAAGGTGGACTTTGCACCATCATTGATGGCTCGAATTGTGCTGGAAAGATTTTTACAAGAACAGGAGCAAGGTATCCGTAAGTATTTTTAAAAACTTTTTCTGATATTAAAATAAAAGTAATTAACATGACATTGTGAGTGAGTTAATGAGAGCCAGATTTGTATCTTGAACAGCTAATGATGATTAAACTGTATGTAAAAAGACCACCCACAATTTCAAAAACTAACCAGAGAGATTCCTTCTTTTTATTCTTCAATATTCAGTTTACCTGTCCCTTCAGGAAAATATAGCATATTAAGATCCAAAAGTTATCTGACTTAATATTTTCTGCTATTAAAAATGTTAGTAACTGATTACTATGAATAAGACTTAAAAAGAAACCAAAGCCGCCTTTTAATACTGCTACATTGGAGAAATGCTGCTGCTACTAATGCAAAAGTGAATTTAACTGGTCTCAGTACAAGAAAATAAAAAAAAGGAAAAGAATAGAGCTACAGGAGGAGGTTCAAGCCTAAATTAATTTGCCACTGAAAAAATACATTTTGTTATTTTCTCTGTGTCAACTGCATGATTAAAACC